CGATCTATTAGAACGACAGGACACCTCTGTACCGCCGCGGTCGCGCTTACGCCTCTGGACGAAACGACACCCGGACGACGACACCATTACTGGACACGCCATTACTGGAGCTAGGATCTAGGAGCCTTCTTCTATTAAAGTGTTACTTTATAAATGCTCTTCTCTACTAAGCCTTGCCTTTCTATATTACTGTCTATATCTTAGCTATTATTTTACTATCTTCTTTACTTTTCTATATTTGCTATAATAACCTGCTCTAGCTGCCCTACTAAATAACGTCTTGGCCACCTACTCGGGCCGGCCACCTAAACGAGCTATGCCTCTAAGCTTGCTTTTTTCCCTACTAACAGCAGATTCTTATACTTTATAGCTTAACTATTTGTACACTAAATATAACGCTAAATAGCTTAAACAACTCGGAGCTTTCCTAAAAAGAACGGATTTAGCTTACCCTTAATATATACCGCTAGGGGCCCGGTTTATTGCTTTATAAAGCCTATAAAATCTTCCAGGTCCTATACTCCACCTTAAAGGCTTGTAATAAGGGTAGATAATCTGCCTAGGTCTACTAGCGGTTATAATAACGTCTATTAGTTTAGGAAAAAAATGCCCTTATTAAATATATCCTTTAGACGGCAGCCTAGAGCTAGTTAATTATAATTAGATACTTAGAAGGCCTGGCTAAGGGCATACTTTAAAAAAAAAGATTTTAACCCTTTTAGCTATAACTAGTATAAAAACTTCCTTTAGCGCTATCTAGAAATTAAGCTAAAGCTTACTTCTACTATAATTAATTAAGGAAGAATACTATAGAGTATTAAAAGCTAGAAAAGGAGTTTTCTTTATATTAAGAAACTATAATAAGGTATAGGATTTTACCTAAGGATTAATATAATATAAATAAAAAGGGCTTTATAAAGAAAGTAGAAAATAGCTATAAGGTTTTTCTACTAATTTAAAAGAAAAAGGTATAGTTTATTTAACCTAGAGATTAAAACTAGGTATTAACTATTATAGTAATTAGTATAAGTAAATACTTAGTTCTACTATTTATTATTTTCTAAAAAAAGTAAATATAATACTTTTAGATTAAAAACTCTATTAACCCCTATATAGTTATTATTATTATTATTATTAAATTCTATTACGCTGGTGTAGCTCCCGTTAGGGTCCATGCAGCTGTTCTATCTAGGCTAGTTTACAAGGAGAAACCGTTTGCTGCCATGCAGCGTTCGGATGAAAACCCCGTCCTCTGCGGTGTATAGCGCTGAGCGCTCTTCTCGTTGTTGTATAGCTATTGGGGACACGTGGTAGATCTATCAAGTCCACCACGGAATAAGCCATCGTGATGCGTCTTCCTAAATCTGTCCGGGTTTTGCAGTCGTCCTCCTAGGCGCGGGTCGAGTTGATTCCGGAGTAGTGAGCTGGTTTAGGATTAGCGTGAGGGCACGCGTGCTGTCGTTTCGCACGCGT